GACCAGTCATATAACTCGTGACTCATGTGCGCGAAGGGCTACAGTTTCGAAACAGAAAACAAAAGAAAGAAAGAGCCATTATGAAGTGACTGCTGGGAAATACTGCGCTATCAAGACAAATTTGTTTTCTACCGACGACTTGGTTGCGTATTGCAGTCGGGTGTGCCCAAAAAAAATTAACCAGTAAACAGATTCAGAGAGCAATCCGATTTAAGGACGAATTAAAAGCTCTGAGCCAAAATTGGAGAAGCATGGTTTCTAGATTTTTCAAATCTCACTAATCTCACCGTAGAAATGTCTCCTTTTTCTTGTGGCATTTTTCACTAATTTACCCCAGAAATTCATTTGACCATAAATGACAAATAAATCAATTTTTGCGTACTTCTTAGAAATTTGTGAACTTTAATGGACCAGAGGCGCTTTTTAACACTGTGACTCAAAGTCTGGATTTGAAACGGGAACCACAAGATGAGTTGTCTAAAACGGAGGTGATAAGGCTGCACCTGGCAACCTTCCGAACGGTCAGCGAATGAACTGGTCAGCAAGAGGAAATCTGAATTGCACGAAAAATGGACATTTGATTCTATTCTCAAAACTGACACATGCAACGGAAAAGCACATTCGCTGCAACACAATCTTTACATGCGAAAGTTTTTTTTTGTGGAATTAATGCTTCATTTTTTATAACTGTTGCTTTCTCGAACTGAGCATCCTTTTCCGGCTCCTCACTCTGACCATCCCCTGTACTTTATTTTCTACGATTGACTCACCCATGCTTTCTCACTCACAAAGCCGACATTTCGACCGAAATTTGCTTTGGTAATAAGACACAAACATTCGACCTACTAAAGAAATACACGGTGAGTTAGTACCAGTCCCTCACAAAAATCGAATAGTTCAGTAAAGAAGTGAACTTCAAAAGTACCTTCACCGTTAATCTGCAAGCTATTCTAAAGATTAGAACCGGTAAGGGTTGAAAATTCAAAAGTCAACTTGGCAAGTAATATGAAACAAAAGTGGTCATAAGAAATTACACAAAACTTTGCGGAAACTAACAATAAATTTGAAATGCATAAGAAAATCATTGTTCCCCATCTATCTATATTTAGTTTAGTGAGGGAACTTACTATGTGAGAGACTCCGAGTTTCAAATTACACAAGCGAAATCCAGTAATCTGATTAAGAATTTCAGTGAATGTGTAGGATTTCGAATCCTAGCTGCTGGAATAATTACGCCCACATTAGGTCCCAATGCTTTCAAGTGATATCATCCAGACAAGGTTGAATGATTTATTTTTAAACGGAAATTTCGTCGAAAAGGCATTGCCTGAAGCACAACGCATGCGCAGCTTCAGACTTCGTAGTGCCCAAACCCGAGCAATTTAAGGTGAGGATGGATATTTGAACGGCACAAAATGAGTAAAAAATGATACTGAGAAGACGCGCAGTGGGAGGGATGGACAATTGCGACGTGGCAGCTGGTGGTCGTCATAGTTGGCCGATGGCAACCGATGGCTTGAATCCGTTCAGGCAGATGTTCCGATGAACATAAGAGGCTATACACATGCAACCTCAACTTTATGGATTACTTTTCCTCTCGACTTTCTTTCTGCTTCCCTCCCCTGCCCCATTCCCCAAAAATCGTGTCCCCACCTCAATTAAACCTCCTACTTCATTCCGGATTTAATTCATTCATTCGAGCGTTAATTCGTGATCCCGTACCAAGAACAGTTATCGGCTAATGAAGTTAGTCCAACAAAATGATTGCTATCGACAGGAATAGAACAACGAAATAGTATTTTGAATTTCAAATCCGAGCACCATGAATAAATATCTCGCCGAGTCCATCTTCTCACACGCCGAATTTCGCGATACCGTGCGCTAATATTTCGTACACGCGTAACATCGTGGAAACGCACTGACATACCCCTCTCGTTCATACTTGCTCTTTCCCTTTAAGAACACTGGCAGGTAACAGCGTGAGGAGAAAAAATTGTTCGCTTCATTGATTTGATAACAATAGACATGTGAGCACACACGTGCCTGACTTCCTCAAGTCAGCAGCCGGGATATAGTAGCTCAAGAGCAGAAACTTCGAGATTCTACAGTAAACTGTTTGCCTTTCTAACACCACTTTATACATATTTCGAATTAATTAGCGGGTCGCTAGTCGAGTGATCGCTGAGGTAATGAGCAGTCTGGATAATAAAGCAGGCACATATGCTAGGTCTGACCGGTACGCTAATTTTGATTGGTCAGCCACATGGCTACTCAGCTGAACGAATAAACGAGCGTGTGATAGTTTGAAATTTCGATACACTACTCTGAAAAAACTTCGACGACAAAGTCCTGATAACGTGGACAGTGGCTACAAAATCGCCGGTGTAAGGACGAATATAAAATAAAAGAATGGAAACCTATATCAAAATCGTTTCTGTAACTTTCAGTAAATCCTCCGCCCGCTGGTGTTCAACAACGATTGCAAAAAGTACAGCACTGTCTCGTCGCGATACATGGCTTTGTTTCTGTTAATTGAAAGTACTCTTTCAAAGCATTCCCCTTTAAACATCGCTGAAATGAAGGCTGTGGAATCCACAGTAGAGAAGCTTTCGTGTTATTCAAAACTACAGGTTGCACCCACATGTTTAACAGTTATGTCGCTTTGACGTGGAAAAGCAAGCGCTTTTCGGAATTTTCAATCTTTTCACTCTTTTGAGTTGCTGTCAGCTGGAGAGTCTATTTTACCTCCGAGGCTTTACTTTTGCTTTTTGACGTTCCCGTGGCTGAGCTTTACCAAGTTGATTTTAACGTTGCCTTCGTTCAATCTCAGGTGCAGTCACAAACTGTTGAATTTATCGCCCGGTTAACTAATCCGCCTAAACTCCTCGGTTCTACGCAGACAGTACTGGATGAATCGTAGGACTTGATTCTAAACATTGGCGCTAGTTCTCTTTCTTCCCTTTTTTTCCCTCTCTCATTCTTTCCTCCCATCTCCACCTTTTCTCATGACTGTACCGCGATAATTTTCAAGGTAATTTTCCAAGCCATCAGAGAAAAAAACGAAAAAAAATTTACTAAACGTTATATAAAAGTAGAAAAAAGGCAAAAAACCCAAATCAGAGACAGCTTAATGGAGCAGTGCTTTTGGCAGAGTTAATGTCGAAAATAGCGCATTCAATAGCATTTATGGTCGTAAAGTTTTGTTGCTTTGTCCGGTGTGCCTGCTTTATTCGTTGTGCCTAGATATGGAGTGATCCAGGGAGCCAGCTGCCGACCTCAGACGCACACGGCTGGCCAATATATATTGTATAAACAGGACCACAGCGAGCCTTATTTGGGCAATAAATCTTGTTGGGGTGCCATTATTGAAAAAGTTATACTTCTCGTTGCAGCCTAAGCCCGAGCACAGCCACCTATCATGTTGGAAGCGCAATTTCCGAGCCATGAAAAAACTACTGCTCTGCTGCTTGCTGAAAGGCATTTTAAGCTTTCAGCACACATCTCTTGCACTTTCTGGACATAGGCATAAGTCGTGAAAATTTGTTCTCCGCCACATACACTCAGAACACAAGACCGCTCGGGCTATTATTGTGGGTATCCCATGTTAGTGATATCACAAGGATACTTCCACACGCCAGTAGCAGCAATACCAGGCTTCTCGATCCTGGGCTGCATACTTCCAGTTAGTACTCACCACCGAATATGTTTTTTTTATGATTTAACCATATTTAAAAGTAAGTTGGTAGAAAAAGACCCTCGCTTTTATAATTCTAGTAAGG